GACCAACGCGGACTACTTTTGCAAGAAGGTTAGTGGGCCTAGTATTATAAACCACTATCGGGATGAAAGGTGACGAGTCGAGCAGTGGCCACCTTGACCTACGTGGCCTCCTTTTGAAAAACGTATTGCAATTTCTCTTGTTGGATAAACAAAAAATTATAGCATGTTAATATATTCTTTTAGATTTGTACGAAAAATTGTAAAATCGACTAAGAGTTGGCGAAATCTCAGCAACCGAGGTATAGACATATACGCCCCCGAGGAAACAAAACGAGCCTACGCATCTACTGGTCTCTGTAAAATGTAGTACTGCGAGTACTACTCAAGTTGACGGGCAAGCCATCTAGTCTGACAAACTAATTCAACCCTAGAGGGTTGAGTCCTTGGCGTAGCTTTGGTTTCATGGCATACTCTCTCCGCACCAATGGCCATGTACATCTAAATGTTTGCTCTACGGAGGTGCTTGTTTTGTGTCACACGTACGTGTATACTTAATCTAAAAGAGATCTTGAATGCTATCACAAACATGGGGCTGGGGGAACCCCATTTTCGTGGAAAAAAATTAAATAGTATCATTGTCAGGGTGGAGGATAGCAAGCCAAGCAACAGTGCATCGACCTACATGTCGTCCCTTTTGCAAAGAAGGCCAGTTGACCTAGTTTTACAGATCACTATCAGGACGGAAGATAACAAGCCGAGCAATGGTTGAAATTACCAACATGACATCCTTTTGCAAAAAAGTCGTGTGACCTAGTATTACATATCACTATCAGGACGAAAGATAGTGAGCCGAGCAATGGCTGCATTGGCCAACACGAACTCTTATCACACAAATAGTCACTTAATCTAGTATTATAGATCGTTCACAGTACGGAAGGTAGCAAGCCGAGCAATGACCGCATCAACCAACACTGCCTCCTTTTGCAAAAAAAAAAGGTCACTTAACCTAGTATTATAGATCGTTGCCAGGACTAAAGATGTCGAGCCAAGCAATGACTGCATTGACTAACGCGGCCTCCTTTTAAAAATAAGTCATTTAAACTAGTATTATGGATCATTGCCAGGATGGAAGATGGCAAGCCGAGCAATGGCTGCATTGACCAATGTGGCGTCCTTTTGAATAAAAAGTCACTTAACCTACTATTATAGATTGTTGCTAGAACGGAAGATGGCAAGCCGAGGAATGACTTCATTGACCAACACAATCTTCTTTTGCAAAAAAATTACTTAACCTAGTATTATAGATTGTTGCCAGGACGGAAGATGATGAGCCAAGCAATGGCTGGATTGACCAACGCGGCCTCCTTTTGCAAAAAAGGTTGCTTAACCTAGTATTATAGATTGTTGCCAGGATAAAAGATGGTGATCCGTGAAATGGCTGCATTGGCGAACACGTCCTTCTTTTGCAAAAAAGTGATTTAACCTAGTATTATAGATTGTTACTAGGTCTGAAGATGCCGGGCCGAGCAATGGCTACATTGACCGACGCGGTCTCCTTTTGCAAAAAAGGCATTTAAACTAGTATAATAGATCATTGCTGGGACAGAAGATGGCGAGGGGAGCAATGGCTGCATTGACCAACCGGCCTCCTTTTGCATAAAAGGTCACTTAACCTAGTATTATAGATTGTTGCTAGGACGGAAGATGGCGAGCTGAGCAATGGCTACATTGACCAACGCAGCCTTCTTTTGCAAAAGAGTCACCTAACCTAGTATTGTATGGAAGATGGCGATCCGAGCAATGGCTGGATTGACCAACGCGGCCTCCTTTTGTAAAATATATCACTTAACCTAATAGTATAGATTGTTGCCAGGATAAAAGATGGCGATCCAAGTAATGGTTGCATTGACCAGTGCAACCTCCTTTTGTAAAAAATGTCACCTAACCTAGTATTATATATCATTGCAAGGACTGAAGATAGCTGAGTCGAGGAATGGATGCATTGCCCTTCTAAATGTCACTTGACCTTGTATTAATAATCACTATCGGGATGGAAGCTAGCGAGTCGAACAATGGTTGCATTGAAGAATGCAACCTTCTTATTGCAAAAATATAACCTAGTATTATAGACCACTTCCAAGAATGAAGATAACGAGCCGAGCAATGGCTACATTGCCCTTTTAAGTGCCACTTGACCTAGTATTATAGATCACAATCAAGATGGTAGATGGCGAGGCGAGCAAGGTTTCATTGATTAACACGGCCTCCTATTTTGTAAAATCATCACTTCACCTGATATTATAGTCCATTGCCAAGGACTGAAGATAGCAAGGTGAGCACTCCCTACATCGACCAACGCGGCCTACTTTTGCAAAAAGGTTAGTTGACCAAGTATTCTAAACCACTATCGGGATGAGAGATAACGAGCCGAGCGATGGCCGCATTGACTTACAGGGGCTCCTTTTGAAAAAGCGTCACTTGACCTAGTTAGTTATATGGATCATCGTCAAGACTTGTGAGACGAGCTCCATTGATGTCAACGGAACATCAGTCGACTGATATATGGATCATCTTGCATTTTTTTTCATTAAAATGATTTTTTGCCGTGCTATAAGATTTTCTATTATCGTGGCAAAAAAAATCATTTTAATGAAAAAAAATGCAAAATTGAATAAGAATTGGTGAAATCTCAGCCAACTGAGGTACAGGCATGTATGCTCCCTGAGGAAACAAAATGAGCGTACACATTCTACTGCCACATAACAGTAAAATTTAGCTGGATCATATCCACAGCCAGCGGCACATTCTCCAAACGCCGACATGAAAATGTTAACATACCGGCAACATGCAGCAGCTAGATCCCCTCACTGGCCACCGCATGCACGGTCCAGCACGGCGCCTCTACTATACGTCCGGTGCGGTGATGCGTGCTACATACATTTGTCCCCATTGAGAAAACCACGACACTAGTTTTGGACTTGGCATGTGTCGCCAAATGCAGAAATTCTTTTATAAACCATCCAGAGAGAGGCGAGAGGTCGGCATTGCATCATCTTCCTTTGACCTGCCCGCGCGCGCCGGCGTCCCGTCGTCATCCCGAGACCGTGACACGTAGTGTATCTACATCCGTATGACGAGGATAGCCGCGGGCTTCACTTGTTGACCAGTGGACTGGTTCAGTGTGCTGTGTGCTGAAACCACGTGCCCGGTGATATGATTGTTCAGTTGCATGCATGTGCGAGGACTAGTGAAAGAACACTTTGCTCTCTCGACGACTCGATCCGTGGAAACGAACGAAACAAGTGTGTGATGTGGCGGGGCCGGCCAGCTTATTTTATCTTGCATGATTGCATCCTTGTCCTCTCGCTCGTGGATCTACCTCTACCTAGCTAGGTGCCACATGCATATTCATGCATCCCATGGTTCCATCATGCATGGCCATGGCTATCCGGACACCAGGAAAAGCGTGTAGAAATCTTGATCCAGCTGGTCGTAATTATGGGTTACTGCAAGGTATACTATGACGTCAAGTTCGATTGCAAAGAAAAAAAAAGGTTTAATACGTAACCTACGACGTGTGCAGAGTGATCTCTCAACTGACAAATATTGCATCAAATTAGTAATGTGTACGTGCAACACATGTCCATTATGACAGTAATATTCTTTTTAAGATTATTCACACTTAATGTTGATTTCAAGATTATTTTGCGTTTAATGCAATTCATGTCTTTCTAAATTATAATTAATGTCATTGACATATTTTTAAATTATTGATGATGTGATGGATACATCATACTCGTGTTTTTCTAAGTAAGTAATATAGTAGAAAATATGAGGGCAATCAAACGCGCCTCCTAGGCGGGCCTTTTTAGCGCAATGCAGCTTAGCGAGGCTTTGTTTATTATGCTTTTTAAGGTTTTATTAATTTAAAGTTTCTTTTCCATTTGGCTTTTAAAAATATGAAAAAATATTATTTTTGAAATGTGAACATTCTAAATTTTGAGAATGTTTTTTGGGAAAGCGATATTATTTGGAACATTTGCTAACATTTTGGAAATATTTTTTATAAATAAAATCATTATTATTTATTTTTTGAACACTTTCTAAAAATTAAGAACAGCCATTAACAACTTTTAAAATATAAAACAGATGAACGGTTTTTAAAAATTGGGAACATTATGAAAGTTGAACTTTTTTAAAAAGTTGTAGAACAAGCTTTTTATTAAAAAGAACAAAAACTATAGAAAACGAAAACAGAAAAAGATTTAAAAAGGAAAATGGACCAAAACATTATAGAAGGTTCCCAAAACCAGGGAAACAAATTATATGAGACCAGGTCTAACGATTAGCAGGTGAGACCCGTCCTAATGGATGACACGTGGCATTCACAAATCACAAAACATCTAATCTCTCTCCCCTCTGATTTTAAGTGGGAGGTGGGGGATGCTTTGAGATTTGTAAATGCCACGTGTCATCTATCAGGATGGGTCTCGCGTGAGACCTGGTCTCATAGAATTCTTTTTCCAAAACCAGTGCTATCTTAGGAGTGCCACGTAGGATAAATGATGAGGTGGAGGAGAGAGAACTTATAAGAAAAGGCCTGTCTTATCTTATTTAAGAGAAGACAAGAGATGATCTTAGCACAATATGTCTCACCACGTTCTTAGGAATACCTAGTTATTGAAGATAAGACTAAACGATGACCAATTGTAGATAAATTTTTTGTGTCATCTCTATATTACATGCAAAACTTAAAACAACACTACCTTATCAACCATTGTACATGCCCTAAAACCAGACAATAGTGGACTCGACAGTGCTGTCCTATAGTTTTGCCATATAACTTGGAAAAAGACTAAATTTCAATTGGAACATAATAAGATGCTCCAGGCAGCAAGCAACCAAACTAAGAATTTCTAAGCATCACAATTCACCCAAAAGATGCTTAATTTGCATTACCATGTAGATCAGAACCAACAAAAATATCAGTCGATTACATATGTTACAGAACCGAACATCTAATTTATTTGGCCGCCCATGCATACAATCCGTACGCCCCTCTAGCTTCTCGGCGGGTTCAAGATGTTGATGGCTAACTGGACAAGCTTCTCGTTCTCGCCGTTCTCCTTCCGAATGGGATTACGATCGACCTTCCCGATCACTCCTACGCCGCTCAGCAAGATGTCGCAGTCACTAGGCGCGCCCAGGGCGTCGTTCAGCTTATCGGTCGCGTTGACGACACGTCCGGCGTGAAGGTCGTCGAGGGCGGCGGCCACCGTACTGGCCATGGTCGTGTAGTACCCAGTGCAGGTGTTGAGGTCGCGCACGAGGTCTGAGATGATGTGCAGCGTGGACGTCACGCTCTGCGCGGTCTGGTTGGTGGCGACGATGCCGCGCTGCAGCGTGTCGTTTGAGGAGGCGGCCGCCGGGAGCACTCTCGGGTTGACGGCAGGGGAGACGCCGACTGCGAGGATAGGGGCGCTAGCCGCTGCGAGGAGGAGGAGCAGGGCCAGGGAGGAACTCATGGTGATTTACGTGCGAGGTTCAATTCAATGGCTGCATCATTCCAAGCCGTGTATCCTTGGGATTTATACAAGCGGAGAGGCCTCTATTTTAGAAAGAATGCACGAATACAATCCTGCATAAACGGGATTTATTTTATGATTTGATGTACTTCCTTCTAAAGAACATATATTGTTAGTAATTTCCTTTTTGTGGCGATCACTCTTTATCTGAGGTTAATCAACAATAATGGCGCCGATGAATTCTTATTTGGCAAGATCTCATCATTAATCCTCTCCAAAATATGCATGATTTTGTGAACTTCGAAAAGGCTTGCCCATTGACATGAGGTTAGTCCTCTAAAAAAAACCTTTTTTCCAGGAAAATCCTCTCCAAAAAATTTGTCAATACCGTTCGAAGGGGGTCCTCTCTATTAACTAGCAGAACATCTGTGTGTTGGTACAGGCTATCCACCATGTTATCTCTAACATCTGAGTCCAACACAAAAAACACCATCCCACGATGCATCTTCTCTTTTTCTGTAGGAACCTCCCATTGCCGCTCGGTTTCCCGTCATAGCGGGACATTTCTCGCTGAAGCCACCTCCTTAAAAACCGGATGACGTCCACCTCATCTTCGCCGTGCGTTGCAATAGGGATGAAATTTTTTATGTTCACAATATAATAAAGTGGGTTAAACAAAGTTATACTATTGACACAGAAAAACAAATAAATATAGAGATCATTCTCAAAGATCCATTCAACTTTGCAAATGCACACTGCCGTGGCAGGCAAGTGGTAACGTGAACGTATTCCTAGTCACCAATAAGCTCCACCTCCAGCCCACATATGCTAGAAGGGATACTTGTCGTTCTTCTCTTCCCCGTCCTTCCCTACATCTTCTACTCTTAGCCTCTTCGCCTAGAAGTTTCATTGGCGCCAACCAGGACCACGTTAACATTAGTTTGTTCGTCATCGACACCTCATCTTCTTCTTTCTCATTCCTCACCAACTTTAGTTCTCGTTCCTACTTATTTTTTAGAACACTCTTTTTTTCGTCTTTTTTTTTTGGAACACTCTTTCTCCAATGCCACGGATCACTTGGTGGCTTTAGTTCTTTTTCCTACTTATTCTTGGAACACTCTTCCTTTCTGCCATAGCATGAACCAACTGGTGTCCTGACACGCGAATGTTTCCGCAACCGTCAGTATGTGGACATCCTGCAGAGCATAGGCGTCATCCATCTTGGGGAACGTTAGGTCGCCCATGTCGCGAGCGCATGGTGGCTGTCAAGGTTTTTAATTTTGGAAACAAAACAATTTCGGACCTCACAGAAATATGCGATTTCTGGAAATTGCTTCGGATTTTGAGATTTCAAATATCACTTAATTTTACTGAATTCTAACGTAATTTAAATTTACTTTGAAATCATTTTGAATCTACCTCGAAATTTTGGGGTTAAAATATTTCGGACCCATTGAAATATGTGAAATTTCACTGAAATATGCCGTTGTCCATGTTGGCAAGCGGTGCTCAGCCATCTCGCAACATGTTGATCATCCTTTGCCCATCGAGATGGCTCCAATGGGGTCCGGAATATTTTTACCCTGAAATGGGCGTCATCCGGTTTCAAAGGAGATGGCGCCATCGAGAAATGTCCCGCTACGGCGGGAAACAAGTGGGAAGAGGAGGGAGCCTGCTTGGTGCCCATTTGATGTTCAAACACGCTCGTACATATGAGGGAGAAATGAGCTTCGATCTTGCAGATGATCTTAATCATTTGTTGGATTGATTTATATGCATTCTAGCCCGTTGCAACGCACGGGCGTTCTACTAATCAAAATGAGATCTCTCTTAGTGCCGAAGATAGCCAAGTAATGGCTACATTGACCCACATGGTTTCTTTAGGCAAAAAGGCGAGTTTGTCCTAGTTCTAGGGCATCTCTAGCCGTGTACCCGTAAACTGATACACTTAGTGTTTATGGACGTGTCCGTGGATACGGAAATGGAAGCCGTACATCCAACCTCATGCAACAAAGTTCAGCCACATTTGAAACGCAAATTGAACAAAATGAACAAAATTTAACCGCTTGCATGTTGCGCCTCCTCCAAAGGATCTACTAGCCCTGATCGTCGTGGTGGATCCCGCCGTGTCAGACCCGGGCAACATCGGCGTACCTGGATCCTCAGGCCAGAAGCATAAGAATAAGGGCAACAAGGAGAAGAAGGAGGTTGTGCCTACTCACCGGTCGGAGCAGCTCCAGGGACTGTGCATCAACAACTGAACATGCTGCAGTGCAGTTCTTCTATTTTTCTGAAGATGCAATAGTAATCTCTTTGTCTGCTTGTTTCCTTTGTTCTATTGGTTAAACTTGGAATCTGTGCCGGTACTAGTTATTTCCTTGGTTTTTTATGAGGAAAAGTTATTTCCTTGGGTTAATTTGTGAATTTTGTTAAATTTGGGACCTATGGAGTAACAGTTTGCTAAGTATGGTTGTTAAGTGATGTTAAGTATGATTGCTTACTGCAACAATGTGTCTATCTCCTTGTTTATTATGTCATGGTAGTTTAATTCCTCTCAGAGAGATATGTATGCTACACGGATATGTCTGAACTACAAATGACAATGCAGTGTTCCAGACAGCTAAAGTCTTACAATCTTGTTACTTCCATACAAACACTAGCATTGATCATCGCTTGAAACCTTGCAACATCCAAAGTAACACTACCATTTATCATCCCATTACAACCTAACAATACAAAACAAACTACCAGTTCATATGCATACATCAAGCATAACAGAATTGCTGCTTGTTCCCTGCTCATGACACCTTCTTTGCTTGCCCATGGCACCTAAGAAAACCTAGTCTACAGAGCGGTTCATAAACCACCTAATCATTTCTTCAGAATCAACAATAAACACAGAACACCGAGTAACATAACACCTCCAAACAACAACTTAAGCACACAAACCACTTTTCTACCTAAAGCTAACAAGTATCTCTACTTCATTCTGCCTGTTGCTTGCTCATGGCACCTGGTTTGCTTTGACTATAACTCCATGCACTGCCTCTGCCTGCACCTGTAATCCCCCCTTCAGCTCTTGCTTCCTCAAGCTCGTCTCTTCTGTCCTCTGCTGCACCAATTGCATCAACAACAACATCACCAACTAATATCCGTGTACTAACCAGATGCTCAACGTACTCCAGGTCCCGATGCCACAAATCACACTTTATATATGAAATTTAGACATAAAATTTGACAAGTGCAACTAACCACAAACAATCCTAACCTAGGACAACAACAACATTATTGCTTACACTGCGCTTCTTGCACTTGTAAAACACCCAACCATCATGCTCCTCGGTGCTGGAGACGTAGAAATTGACAACCTCATCACAATAAGGCCAAGGGACCGATGGCAACACCACCGAGCGGCCATGCAGAGATGACCTAATCAATTTGGAGGAGGACATGTCGGAAGAAACAAGGGCAAGGATTAGTAGGATGGATAGCGACGGCGATAGGGGCCGGCAGTGGAGAGAAAGAGACGACGACTGTCAATTTGGGACTAGTGTTACAGCAAGAGATAGGGCAGCCAGACAAGCTCATGTGATGCACGGCGTGGTCTAGCCCACACTAGGCTTACGCTAGGTGTGTTGCGCCGTGCCGCGGCATGTGTTGGGGAACGTAGCATGCAATTTCAAAAAAATTCCTACGATCACGCAAGATCTATCTAGGAGATGCATAGCAACGAGAGGGGGAGAGTGTGTCCACATACCCTCGTAGACCGAAAGCGGAAGCGTTAGCTTAACACGGTTGATGTAGTCGAACGTCTTCGCGATCCAACCGATCAAGCACCGAATGTACGACACCTCCGAGTTCTGCACACGTTCAGCTCGATGACGTCCCTTGAACTCTTGATCCAGCAAAGTGTCGAGGGAGAGTTTCGTCAGCACGATGGCATGGTGACGGTGATGGTGATGTGATCCGCGTAGGGCTTCGCCTAAGCACTACGACAAATATGACCGGAGGAGTAAACTGTGGAGGGGGGCACCGCACACGGCTAAGAGAACAATTGATGTGCTTTGGGGTGCCCCCTTCCCCCGTATATAAAGGAGGAGGGGAGGAGGCCGGCCCTAGGGGCGCACCATGGGGGAGGGGGACCGACTTGGACTCCAAGTCGGTCCCCCTTCCTTCTTTCGGAGGGGGAAAGGGGAAAGGAGAGGGAGAGGAAGAAGGAAAGGGGGGCCGCGCCCCTCCCCTTGTACAATTCAGACTACCCCCGGGGGGGGCACCACCCCTTGTG